TCAAAATGGCTGCCTGCACTGCAGCCCCATATGCTACTGCTTCATCAGGATTGATGCTTTTGTTAAGGTCACGGCCGTTAAAATAGTCCTGGAGCAACCTCTGCACCTTGGGGATGCGCGTGGAACCCCCTACCAAAACAATGTCATGGATTTTAGCTTTATCCATCTTGGCATCCCGAAGAGCTTTTTCAACAGGTTCCAAGGTACCCCTAAACAAGTCTGCACACAGCTCTTCAAACCGGGCTCTAGTGATGGATGTGTAGAAGTCGATGCCCTCATAAAGTGAATCAATCTCCAAGTTGGCCTGCGTGCTGGACGACAGGGTGCGCTTGGCCCGCTCGCACGCCGTGCGCAGCCGCCGCACCGCGCGCTTGTTCTGGCTGATGTCCTTCTTGTGCTTCCTCTTGAACTCCTCCACGAAGTGGCTCACCAGCCGGTTGTCGAAGTCCTCGCCGCCCAGGTGCGTGTCGCCCGCCGTGGCCTTCACCTCGAAGATGCCGTCGTCGATCGTCAGGATGGACACATCAAAGGTTCCTCCACCCAAATCAAAGATCAGGACATGTCGCTCTCCCTGACCAGCTTTATCTAAACCATAGGCAATGGCAGCAGCTGTGGGTTCATTGATGATTCTTAGCACATTGAGTCCTGCAATCACACCTGCATCCTTTGTGGCCTGGCGCTGAGAGTCGTTGAAATAAGCTGGCACTGTGATCACAGCGTTGGTCACTGGGTAGCCCAAAAAAGCCTCAGCAGTCTCCTTCATCTTGGTCAGCACCATGGACGAGATCTCCTCCGGGTAGAAAGCTTTTTGCTCCCCTTTATAAGAAACCAGCACCTTGGGCTTGCCCCCTTCATTGATCACTTGGAAAGGCCAAAGTTTCATGTCTGATTGCACAACAGGATCATTAAACTTTCTGCCAATTAGACGTTTGGCATCAAAGACAGTGTTCTGGGGATTCATGGCCACCTGGTTCTTGGCCGCGTCGCCGATCAGACGCTCTGTGTCCGTGAAGGCCACATAGCTGGGCGTGGTGCGGTTGCCCTGGTCGTTGGCGATGATTTCCACCTTGCCATGCTGGAATACGCCCACACACGAGTAGGTTGTGCCCAGATCAATGCCTATGGCCATTCCTTTGGCAGTAGTCATGGTTTTCCGAGGTCTGTGCGGTAAAGAAGAAATATTGTTTTGGTAAAGTGCTTTCAGATTTTCAAAATTTTATTTATTTATTTGAAAGAGTTTTTTTCCATCTATCAGTTCACTTCTCAAATGCTAATGAGAGTCCATACTGGGCCAGGCCAAATGCAGGAGTCCAGAACTCCATCTAGGTTTTCTACATAGATGGCCGGGAACCAAATACTTGAGTGGTCACCTTCTACCTCCCAGCATGCACCTTAGCACTAAGCTGGAATCAGGAATAAATTGGGCATTAAACCCAGGAACCCTGATAATGGGATACAGGTACCCCCAAGAGGCATCTAAATGCTTACAATCATCTCAACATTTTAAAATATATTGTCCATTCACAGTAGTGACCAGTTTATCTCTTGAATTTTCAACTTACAAACCTGAAACCTTATGGCCACTAAAATACCAACTCTTCCACCCTAGTCCCTGGAAACTACTCTTCTTCAGTGTCTGCGAATGTGACAACTCTTACTTAGTAGGCCATATAAGTGTAATTACACATGTTTATCCTTTTGTGACTTGGCTTAATTTCACTGAGCATGACTTTATCAAGTGTTACCCAAGTTGTAGCACATGTGTCATAATTTCCTTTTTTAAAAAAAGGATTTACTTAGTTATTTAAAAGAGAGAGAGAGAGGAAGGGAGAGAATCTTGCATCCAATTGTTCACTTCCTAAATGCACACAATAGTCAGTAGCTGGGAGCTTCATGTGGAACTCCCACAGGGGTAGCAGGTACTCAAGTGCTTGGGAGATGATGTGCCACCTTGCTAGGTGGATTGTAGAAAGCTGGATCAGAAGCAGGATGGCTGAGTCTTCAACTGGCGCTTTTATATGGATGTGGCATCTCCCATGTGCTTCACTGACTGAGCATCGACACCCACTCCACAACTTCCTTTTTAAGCTAAATAATATTTATTATATTTATATACATTTTGCTTGTTCATCTTTGGATGGAAATCTGAATTACTCCCACCCTCTTGGCTAAAAGGGTGAAATACTGCTAGGAACAGGTGTATACAAACATACAGAGAATCTGGCTTTCACAGCAAAGGTGTGACACCTTGGACAGAAATATTCTGTTACTCAAAGGGGAAGGGAGGGAAGTGAGTGTGTATTATGTTCAACTTTTCATAGAGCCTGAATCAAGGACACTGCCCATGTGTCTGTAACATGTTCTATTGTGGAACTTTACTTCTGCTGAACTAAGATTATTTTACATTCTGGTCTCCTTGAGAAGAGCTTTACACTAGGGTTTTGCTGCCTTCTTCAGTTCCATCACTCTCCATCAGATATTCATAGGGAGAAAAGTCAGGCCAGTCTGAGCATGGCAGCTGGAAGCCAAGCAAACCCTTACAAATTTTCTCAGAATAGGTGAGGCACTATGGGTGGTTTCTCTAGTCTCTTCCTGAATAACACTCCTATATTTTTTTCTGGAACAAATAAAAAACCAAGCAATTTTGTAAAGGGTTGTTAGGACACAGCAGGTGAAGTTGCCCCTTGGGATGCCAACATCTTACAGAACTGTTGGTTAGAGTTCAGGTTTCTTGGCTTCTGATCCAACTTCCTCCTAATATAGCTTAGCAGGAACCTGTAATGGCTCAAGTAATTTAAAAAAGACATTTACTTCTATTTTATTCAAAGTCAGGGTTATATAGAGAGAGTGCATGTGAGAGATCTTTGGAAAGAGCTGGTTCTCTTTCCCAACGGTCACAACGAATAGAGCTAAGCTAGGCTGAAGCTAGGTGCTCCATTCAGGTTTCCCATGAGGGTGGCTGAGGGCTCAAGCACTTGGGCCATGCTCTGCTGCTTTCCAAGGTGCAGTAGCAGGGAGGTAGACCAGAAGTAGCACAGCTGAGACTAAATCAGCACTCATAGGCTGTGCTGATGTTGCAGGAATGGCTTAACTCACTACACTATAGCACTGACTCCTGGCTCAAGCATTTGAGTTTCTGCCAGCCATGTAGAAGTTCCTGGCCCCTGCATCATCCTGACCCTGGTGATTTACCAATTTAGGGAATGAAGCTAAATGGTTGGACTTCCTCCCTTTGCCTGAGTCACTCTGTTAATCAAACAAATACATTTTTCAAAAAAGGTGGGAGGGATAGGATCTTTCCATTTCCCCCTCCTTTTTGTTCTGAAGCTACACCACTCCCCTTTCTTGCAGCTCTGATCTATGAAAGTTACCCTCGCGTTCTTCACAAGGACTCTCCTGAGGGGTCCTTGTGGCTTAGCTGGAAGGGTGTCACTGGGGCTCCCACATTCCATTTCAGAGAGCCCACTGGAGTTCTGGCTCTTGGGTTTCAGATCCAGCTTCCCACTAATGCCACCTGGAAGGCCTGAGATGATGCACCTGCTTTTGTGCTACTGTGAGAGATGGTGAGGAGCTTCTGGCTGCCTGCCTCACCCAGCCCTGCTATCGCTTGCATTTTAGGAGTGAACCAGAGGATAGTGGTTTCTCTCTCTCTCTGCCTTTCAAATAAAAATAATCCCCCACCCACCCACCCCAAGTGATTTCCAGAGGCTGGTATTGTGCTGTAGTCAGTTAAGCCATCATCTGAGATGTTGGCTATCCCAAATGCGAGCTGGTTCAGTTCATGTCTTTGCTCCTCCACTTCCCATTCAGCTCCCTGCTAATGCTCCTAGGAAAGCACTGGAAGATGGCCCTAATTCTTGGGTCTCTACACTCATGGAAGACCTGATAAAAACTCTTGGGTTCAGCCTAGTCAAGCTATAGCTTTGCTGTGATTTGGGGAATGAGCCAGCAGACAGAAGCTCTCTCTCTCTCTAACTCTGCCTTTCAAGTAAATCTCCTTAATTTTTTAAAAGGACTTTGGCAATGTCCCCATACCTTAGACTTAAACCCAAATAGTAAATTTGTCATTAAAATTTCTAATGAGCACTTACTAGACTGTAACTATTGCCACCCTCCTTCCAATCAGCCCCTCCTAGCTCACCGAGTGTCTCTTCGTCTTCGATCCAGTTTGGAAATTTCAAGTTATGGAGCCCCTGTGAGCGGTGGCTCCCAAAACATCCAAACTGTTCCGGTGGCGTTCCCCCCACCCCCCACCCCTCCCGGCTCTACAACTTTTGAGCTGTATCCCATGAAGTTACAATACTCCAAAACGGCTCTGAGGTCAAAGGCAGTCCCCCCATTGTAACGTGGATAGAGGAGGTGCCTCAGCCCACACACCTCAACCCCGCCTCAGGGCGTCACCACGCGCCGCCCCCTCACAGCCGGCCCTGCAGACTACCCTAGCCTGGACACTTCCCGCACCTTTCACAATAAGACGCTGGCGGGACGCGGAATCCACAGCCACTTTCCCATGCTGACCCACCCCCCACTTTCCCCTTTCCTCAGGGACTCGTGGAATGCAGGGAATCGCAGAAGGCTGTGGAATTCTGCCGATGCCTGGTTTCGGGTTCCGGGGAGCCTGATCAACGCGAGGCAGAAACCTCGAAATAGTCAGGTCCTGTCCGTCCACTCTGACTTGCTGAGATGACCACCTCTGGAGCACGGGAACCACATATTAACTGGGAAACTCTGCAGGCTCCAGAGAGCGCCTGTGTGGACGGCAGGGGGCTGCAAGAGAAATACTAGAGCCCAGAATATGGCTTTATTAATGAGTAACATACTCCTACTACTTTGTCTTTTAGGTTTTGTTAACCTCAAAAGACTAAGAAAAAAGATGCCAGAACCCGGTTCTCCCTGGGTCTCCACTGCAGTGCAGCCCTCGCCTTCTGCCAGGACGGCTCTATAAAGGGACGTCTAGTGCAGTGGGTAACAGAATCCTTGCCCCTCCCGGCCCGCCAGCAGCAGCGGCTTCAGAGAGCAGCACCAGGGCCAAGGGGACAGGGCCCAGGCTGGCCTGGAAAACCGAGCCTCAGAGCCACCCCCTCCCATCGTCCGCAGGGACCGGCCTGAGGCGGCCTGGGAGCCTTGGACGCCCAGCCCACAGGTCCCAACAACAGGGAGCATGCCGGCCACGGGCGGTGGTAGGGGTGGGGGGCTTCTCCTGTCCGGTTGCTCAGCTTCCCTGTTGCTCAGGCTTGGGTTTCTTGCCCCTATTGTTGGCTGTAGCAGGAATTTTATCTTTAGGCTGGCAGGCAGGGACGGACGTGTCGTTATTATTAGGAACACTGCTCAACCAACAAACTACTCTGCCCGAGTCACCCCATCCCAACCCTGCCAGAATACCAGGCTTAGTCAGGGCTCAGGATCGACTAACCAGAAGGTTCTGTTGGTTGCGTGCCAGCCTTGCAGACTAAGGAGTAATGACGGCTCTGCCTCTTCTGTTTCTGACCTGCCGGCTTGTTCTACAGGGAAGGGGGAAGGCTGGGAGACTCTGGAAGAAGGGGCCAGTGGACCCTGGACAAAGAAACATCCACCAGCTGGTGGCTCATAATGTTCAGTAGGCCTCTTTATCCTCACCTCTTCCTCTGTGTCCAGTTGTTTTCTTCCTTATTTGAAAAAAATTTCACAGGAAGGGCAAAAGAAGAGAGAGGGGCTGGCACTAAATGTAAAGGTTAAGCTTCTTGTCTGTGTTGCCTGTGTTGCTTTCGGTGTCAGATGTTCCATTTCTCCTAGCTCCCTGCTTGTGGCCTGGGAAAGCAGTAGAGGACGGCCCAAAGTCTCGGGACCCTGCACCTGTGTGGGAGACCTGGAAGAGGCTCCTGGCTTCAGATCGGCGCAGTTGTGGCCACTGGGGGTGGAGGTGGGGGTTAATCCTTGGACGGAAGATCTTCCTCTCTGTCTTTCCTCTCTGGTTTTCTAATAAAGAAATCTTTTTTAAAAAACACATTTTTAAAAGATTTTTTATTTTTATTGGAAAGGTAGATATGCAGAGAGGAGGAGAAACAGAGGAAGATCTCTGATGATTTACCCCCTAAGTGGCTGCAACAGCAAGAGCTAAGCTGATCTGAAGCCAGGAGCCTCTTCTGGTTTCCCATGTGGGTGTAGGGT